TTGAGCGTCTGCCTTCGGCTCAGGTCATGATCCCAGGGTCCTGGGATTGAGCGTGTCTGTTGGCCATTTGGATGTCTTCTTTGGAAAAATGTCTGTTCATGTCTTCAGCGCATTTCTTGTTGGATCATTTGTTCTTTGGGTGTTGAGTTTGATAAGTTCCTTATAGATTGTGGATACCAGCCCTTTATTGATACATCATTTGCACATATCTTCTCCCATTCTGTCGGCTGTCTTTTGGTTTTGTCAGCTGTAGAAACTAATTCTAGTTTATACATACGCCAATGACTTCTAGCCATTGTAGTGACAATCCCCACCGCCCCCGTGGAAAACAGGTTTTGCCCCACTTGCACATTTGTTTTAATATTCATGATCTGATCCTTGGGTTGTCCTTTGAACTAGTTTTAACACCTTACCAGTTTCCTCACTAGTGAATTAAATAAAATCTTTAACATGTATTCATTTTTATATTCGTACAAGGGTTATGATTTTATCTTTTTTTTGAAAATTATCCTTTAGGGCGCCTGGGTGGCTCAGTTGCTTGGGCGACTGCCTTCGGCTCAGGTCATGATCCTGGAGTCCCGGGATGGAGTCGAGTCCCATATGGGGCTCCCTGCTCGGCGGGGAGTCTGCTTCTCCCTCTGACCCTCCCACCTCTCATGCTCTCTCTCTCTCATTCTCTCGAATAAATAAATAAATAAAATCTTTAAAAAAAAAAAAGAAAATTATCCTTTAACACATGGAGTGTTTTCCTTTTACATATAATTCTTTTTCTTTGCATGAAGTGGATTAGTTTATGACACATCCAAATTTAATCTCTAGTGGAATTTAGCAGGAAAAAATTTAAATTTAGCATTAAATTCAAAAGGATAATTTTGAAGAGCAGTTTGATTCTTATTAAGGCTTGAAATTTTTATTTAAAGACCCTGTAAGAGACAATAAAGGCTTGAGAATTCTCCACTATGGCTCTTGCATGTCCTTCCTCTCCATAACTGTTTCTCCCTACCCTGATAGAAATCAAATTGCCCAGGGGAGCCTGGGTGGCTCGGTCATTAAGCGTCTGCCTTCTGCTCAGGTCATGATCCCAGGGTCCTGGGATTGAGCCCCGCATCGGGCTCCCTGCGCAGTAGGGAGCCTGCTTCTCCTTCTCCCTCTGTCTACCACTCTGCCTACTTGTACTCTCTCTCTCTGTCAAATAAATAAATAAAATCTTAAAAAATAAATAAATAAATAAAATTGCCCAAACATGGCTGCTACCCTGCCGAAACAGTTCCTCCTTTGACCACCTGCTTCAGAAACTAGCTACACTTACACTGAGACTTCTCATATCCTGCATTTTTGAACAAAAACCTATGCCAATTGTGCTCTGGAAATGTGCATATGAGTTAGTTAAAAAGTTTATTTTTATGTATTGAACACATGATATGCAGTGCAGGCTAGTTATTATGAAGTCTCTCAATTGGACTTTGATATTTCCTGATGATTAGGCTCAGGGGATGGGTTTGTGCAGAAGTATCATAAAAGTGATATATCTTCTTGAGGCTTCATATTAAGAAGGACGTGATGTTGATTTATTATTTGATCACTTTGTTAAGGCAGTCATTTCTCCACTATGAAGTTACTATTTTCCCCTTGGAACTAATCATTATTTTATGGGGAGATAATTTAAGAATACATTTATATTCTATTCTTTCTAAAACTTTGGCTTGTTTGTTTTAGCACTCACTGCTGCTTCTTGCTTTGATCTATTATCAGGATGGTTGCTGAATGGTGATTTTTTTTTTTTTAAAGATTTTATTTATTTGATAGAGACACAGTGAGAGAAGGAACACAAGCAGGGGGAGTGGGAGAGGGAGAAGCAGGCTTCCCGCTGAGCAGGGAGCCCGATGCGGGGCTCAGTTCCAGGACCCTGGGATCATGACCTGAGCGGAAGGCAGATGCTTAACGACTGAGTCACCCAGGCGCCCCTGAATGGTGATTTTCTAATTCCATCATTCCTTCTGTATTAATTAGTTGTCAAGTAGGGAAAAAGTTTGCCTTCTCTCCCATTAATTTGTTTATTTAAATCACTCAACTCATGGATTCTCATTTTAATCAATGTGCTTTACTATAATTATTTTGATCCTCAAATTTCCTTTGATTTGATCAGTGGGAGCCCCTTCAGTCTGGCTCTTGTATCCTTTTGGCATATTCTTTTTACCTTTGAACACTCCCTTACTTTTTGGTACAACAAGGTATTCTAGGTTCTTCTTGTACTTTTCCTTCTCCAACCCTGGAATTAACCATTTCTACAAGGAACCCTCCCTGATTGCTTTCAGTGGAGGATGGCATCTAGAAACCAGTATCTGTGCTATAGTTGTGCTCATTGCTACTGGGCTGTCCTTATTTCCAGGATCTCTCATCAGACAAAGATAGGAATTAGATGTATAGATTCACTCAGGCATACATAAGTAGGTATATGTAGTATATTGATACATATGAATAGGTATAAAACCATGAGTTCATAGTGAATACCTCCAATTCTACTTTCCCCCTTTCCATACTATATGGGTAGTACCAATTTTCATTGTTACCAGCCATTAAAGGTCATACTTTTTAATTTTTGCCAATCTGATATGAGAAATGATATCACAGGATAGTTTTTGGTTTTGCATTTCTCTTATGAGTAAGGTTAAAAATCTTTTGAGATGTGGAAGGGCTGTTTTTACATCACTTTTGTGAATTGTGTCATTTTCAACTGGTTTTGGTCTTTTCCCTCTCGATTTTAAGAGTTCTTTATGGACTAGAGATGTTACCTCTTTAACTGTGATATGTACCAGAAATATTTTCTACCAGTTTCTCAACTGTCAAATATTTTGTTGTGGTATTTTTTGATATGCCAAAGTGATTTTTTTTTAATGTGGTCAAATATAGCAATTTTTTTATTGCCTTTGGATTTTGAGTCATGATTAGACTTTCCTTATACCAAAGTTAAAATAAAATTCACCCATGTTTTCTTCTAGCATGGTTTCAGTTTTCACATTTAGATCCCTGACCCATTGGCATTTATTTTTGTGGATGACGTGAGATTTGAATCTGATTTTACCTTTTTCCAAATGGTTACCCAGGTCCTAGCACCATTTGTAAAGAAAATAAAGAAGTCTATCTCTGCCCCATTGCTATGAGATGTCACATTTATCATATGCTTAATTTTCTCATATATTTGAGTCTATTTCTGGGCTTTCTGTTCTATTCCACTGGCATGTCTGTTGACTCATACACCAATACCACACTGTTTCAGTTACAGAGGTTTTATAGTATGTTTTAATGTATGATAGGAATAGTGACTCCTCATAACTTATTTTTTAATGCTTTCCTGGTTATTCCTGCATGTTTATCTTGTCATATGAACTTTAACATCAACATGTCCAGTTCCATTAAAAA